GTATATGACAGCAGATTCAATTTTACGTGCGCGTCCTGTTTTTGACTGGGTGAGATAATTTTTTTGATTGTTTATTAATATTCTTTATTTTATATAATAATTCTAACAATTAAATACTATAGATTTTATTAGAACATAATGGTATTGTTACAAATTCAAACGTTTATCTCTTAATTCAAGATGAAGAATTTTTTACAAATTGTCGTCATATTCGTTCAATTTGGGCTCCCATCAAGGAATGCATTAATATCCTTGAAGCAAAATCAGCTTCTTTAGCTGATTGTTTCGTGCAAATGATCAAATTAGCAATTGCTATATTTCGTCTCCCTTCATCAAATCCCTTTAAAGCTTCAGCAATTCAGATTTTTAATCATCGTTATCTTGAATTTCAGCATCCTGCTTACTTATTATGTTATTTTCTTCACCCTTATTATCGAGGTATTTACTATTTTTCAGTTAATTATTAAAATCATTATTGCTAAAAATTATTTTGATTTTTTAGGTCTAGGACTTAATGATGAAGGATTTAGAAATGCAGCAATAACTGCCACAACTCTCTGGCAAAATTTAGGATATTCTGAACAAGAATGTAGAGAACTTCTTACTCAATTCCGAAAATATGATCAAAAACTTAAACCTTATGATTTATCTTATGATAAAAATATGGATACACCCGAATTATGGTGGAGTTCTATAAGAAGTAAACCATATTATTTACGAGATCTTGCACTTCGTTTATTTTGTATTGCTGTTTCACAAGCAGGATGTGAACGAAATTTTTCTGTACTTAAATGGATTATTGGAGATAGACGCACAAGGCTTGATGTTCAAAAGCTCGAAGGTATTTCTAAAATTCGTTCTTATTACTTAGCAAGCATTAAAAATGAATTATCATATTATGGAAAACATTTGGATGAAACAGAATTAAGAGAAGTTGCCAATACCTCTGCAGTTGGTGAAATTATTGCTTTAGATGATAATGATAATGATACTAATTATCTACTATTAGAGGAAAATCAGGAAAGAGAAGGTACACAAGAACGTACTACTTTAATATTGGAGGACATTATTGATTTTACACAACCAATCTTTGAAAATGCAGAAAATGTGGATAATAATACTAATGAAGAAATCAATATAGATAGAAATCAATATAGATAGAAATATGGATTTTAGTCCTATTGATTTAGTTAACCAAATTTTAGAAAACTAATTTGTTAGTTATTAATTTGTTGTATTAAATTCAAATTTATTGAATAAACTCATAAATCATATGTCAAATTTGGCAATTTATTATATTTTAAGTTACGGCAATATGGTATGCGTCTTAAGTTATGGCATACGTCATTACGTCAAATTTACTCTTGAGTTACATGCATTATACGTCTATGACGTGACTTAACTTAAGGTTACGTCACGTCATTAAGGCTGCACCTCTATATTTTTCGCAGAGATAAGATACAATTTATTATCAAGTTACGTCAAATACAATGCGTCATATGTCACACTTTGCGTCAAATGTCATTAATTACGGCATTGGCTAGCATTATGTCAAACGTCATGAGTTGTAACATGCGTTATCCAGACGCATGTCATATGACACATGACGCAATGTTATAACCCATGGGGAGGGATAAGGCTGCACCTCTAATGATTACATATTCTTATGCATTTGTCTCATGATTATTAATTTTAGAATTTTATATTAGCATTTTTTCAGTTATAAAATACACAAATAAAGTTCAATTTTCAGTAAAAATAATCAACAATCATTAGTATAATGAAGATTAATTTAATGAATCTAACTATATTTCAGATTTTATTACAATATGTTAAACTACAATTAATTCAAATAAAATAACAATTAATAACCTAAAATTACAATCAATTGAAAAGTTAAATATCATTAAGCAATTTTGTGATGAAAAAACTTTTCTAAGCTACTTTAGAATTTTGCAAATCAAAATAACAATATACAATTAAACTTTTATATAATAATATATTGAAATATATATAATTTTTAGAAAATATTATTATATCAAAATTATACTGATATTTATATATCCTCATATATAGTGAAAAAATCAAATTTTATTAGTATATCAAATTTTTAACAATATATTAATATATCAAATATTAGTATATCAAAATTAGACTATATAAAAGAGATGAGTTTATGTAAAAAAATAGTTGATACTTGATACTGCATTAAAAATTAATGCATATAATGAATTATATAAAATATTAACATCAGATACCTGATATGTATAAGATATGTGTAAATATACATATCATTTACATATCATTTACATATTATATATATATTAAATACTGATATATATATAATATATATATTTACACATATCTTATATATATTAGATATCCAATTTTCTGCATTTTTACTACATATATTTGGATATATATAAGGTTGCTTGTCTAAACCTCTTCAAAATCCTACGATTAGTTTCGTCAAAATTTTACTATAGATTTATTATAGTTTCGGCAGAGTTTTGGCAGTTTCGGCATTTATAATAAGTTTCGGCAGTTTCGCCTTTCTCCAAAGTTTCGCCAGTTTTTTAATATAACTTTAATATAGTTTCAGCAGAATTTTGCTTTTCGGCAAAACGCCATCTTGCCTAAACCCCTAGGTTTTGGCAAGCAACCTTAGATATATATCTGATACATATCTGCTACTGATAAATTAGTTTTTGACCAGTAAAAGTAATTCAGAAATATTGAATAATTATAAATCAAGACAATGTAGAAATTGTAAAGAGTATGGTATACATGCCACCCAAATTATTTTGGACTGCCATAATTATAAGTAAAATCCCAAATTCAATTATGGCATCCCAAATTATTTTGGCACTTTACATAGTAAATTATATATAAACTGAATGAATTATAGCATCCCAAATTATAATTATGGCATCCCAAAATAATTTGGGCAGCATGTATAGAGTATGGACATTATAATAAAACTTATTCTGTATTAAATAAATAAAAGAGTATCAACTAAATATATTGCTTTTAATAAAAATTTTGATTTCTTTATATTTGTATTTTTTTGCTTTTTTAGTTATTTTTTTTAGTTGTTTAAATCATATCTTTAATAATCAAAGTGCAGTGTGGCTATTAGTAAATTATAAAAACACTAGCTAATATTACAAATATCTGACTAACATTAAGTAATTTTAGTGATTTTCTTAAATCATATATTATTTAATTATATTACTGCTGAAATCACTAGTAACATCAGTGAAATAACATCTACAGTAATTTTAATTTTGATTAAAATTAGCAAATCTATTTATAAAAATTACATTAAATATTTGGATAAAAAAAATTAAATATTAAAGACCTTTTAATAAAAATTTCAAGTAATTTAGTTAAATTAATTAACTTATTTATGGAAAAAATGTAAATTTCAAATTTGTGATAATTTTTCTATTTATTGTATGTATATTGGCAATTAAATATTATATATCCAATAGTAAAAGATAAAATTTCAAGAAATTTTTATTTGAATTAATTTTTTTATAAAAAAATTTGATTTATTATTAAGAAAAAAAACTAAAATATTATAAAAATTATTTAAAAATATAGAAGTAAAATTAGAAAAATTTAAGTAATTTATTATAAAATTAAATTTTAATTTAAACAGTATTTTTAATATGAATAAAATACTAGTTTAATTTAATATAATAGATAATATAATTATTAACAATTAACAAAAATGATATAATAGAAAAATTATTTTACAGTAATTTTTAATATATTTAATTACACTGGTAAAAAAATGATTTATCCTACACATATCTTACACATATTGGGTACTCAAAATGTAAAAAATCATACACAAATAATACACATATCATACACATATCGGGTACTAATATATATATCATACATATATCAGGTACCTGATAGGCTGTCTCTTATACACATCTAGATGTGTATATATAAATACCCGATATGTGTATGATATGTGTATTATTTGTGTATGATTTTCTACATTTTGAGTACCTGATATATGTAAGATATGTGTAGGATATGTGTAGGATAGACCATTTTTTTACCAGTGTTAGTAATATACTTTTTCTTTTGATTTATTTTTTAATTATATTAATTTAAAATTTAACAAGTTAATAAAAATGGAAATAATAATTTTACGCAGGTGTGTTACAATGCACCACTCCTTTTTGGAAATTATTAAATAGTAAATTTGCTGATCATAACATGATCATAAATAATCAACAAATTTACTATTTAAAAATTTTCAAAAAGGAGGTACATTCAAACGCAGGTGCGTTCAAATTTTAAACTCAATAAAAATATGTATTTATAGATAATATCAAATATCTTTTAATTTGTATTTTTAAATAAAAATAATCTTTTTATAGTCCAAAAAGTATTGTTTATTAATTTTAGAAAAATGGATAAATGATATCAAATTTAATGAAAAATTATGTTGATTTTTTATTTAAACTTCATATATTTGAAAATTTGTCAAAAAATTAAAAAATTCTACTATAATGATATATGATTTATTTTGTGATTATTTAAAAAAAAATGTGAAATTAAATTTAAAACTATAACTTTTATTTAGCTATTATTTTAGTAAGATTAACTAGTATATACCAGTCTATACATATGGGTGTAATTTTTTCAGATAATTCAGCATTAAAGTAATGTAATAGTAAAATATATTATACTAAATTTTTGTTTAAAACATGATGTAATATCAAATTAGTATAATGTACCATAATATTTTAGCAGAAATTTTTTAATATATATTCTATAAGTATGTATATTCTACCAGAGTTTAGAAGTTATATATTTACATATGATAATATAGTGCAAAATCTCTATACTCAACTACTTATATATAGTAACAATTAATTGATTAAATTTCTAAAAAAAAATTTTTTTATATTAAAATAAAAAATTTAACTGATAATTTTTATAGATATGACCATTAACTTTAAAAATTATCAGTTATTTTTTTTTTTAAATTAAATTTTGGCTAAGTTTTAGCTGTTTAAAAATCTGTAATTTAAATATTGTGATTTAATATACTAAGAAAAAAAAAGTTCTAAAACTGCAAAAAAAGATTTAATAAATAAGATTGTTTAAATATAAATCAATTTAATATTATAAATGATAATTATATACTATCAAGTGAATATTTAGAAGACAGTTCAGATGAATTTATAAATGAAAGAATTTAAAAACTAAGTAATTTTACTTTAATTTGGTTAAAAAATGCATATAATAAAATACAAATCTTATTATTATATATTTGATTCATTAGTTTATAATAAAATACAATGAATAAATATATTATATAAATTTTATATCATATAACTTATAAAATCCTAATTTCTAATTAGTTAATATATATATCACATAATGCTTATATAATCTGAAAACTTGAGACTTTTTTATTTTATAAATTAATTTCTTTTAATAAATAAAGTTTAATTTTTTTTATAAAATTAAAATTCAATCATAGAATTAAATTTTATTTAAAATTTTTTTAAGTTTCTATTATAGAGATTCTACATCATATTAAATTTAACTCTAGCTAATGTAAATATTAATATTATATATATGATATATTAAAGATACTTATTTTAGCATGACTTAATTCAGAACTCTGCTTACTATTAAAATAAGTCACCTTATGGTCTAAAATAAGATTTACATATAAAACTTTATAAAGATTCTACTATAAAAGAAAATTTTATATTATATTATTATGATTATTTTTCTTTTTAGTTAATTAACCAATAGAATTTAAGCAAATCCTAAGGTAAGGTTTCATATAAAAGTGAAATTTTTACTGGTAATATATCTTAATAGTAGGTGGGATTCTCTTGAACCTAATTCACCCCTATATATACTGCCAGTTACTTGATGTATCAATAAATAAGCTCTTTAAAGATAATATGTAAAAAAAATAGTATAAATAAATATACTGATTTAATAGTACAGTCAACTCCCTCTATAGTCACTCCCGTTATAGTCACATTCTACTATATAGTCACACCAGTTGAATGTTCAAAACACTTTATTATTAAAATCTATCCTATATAGTCACAATCTATCTATAGTCACTATCACACCTATCCTCAAAAATCTTATATTAAAAA